CAACTCTCTCCTCTCGTGCACATGGTATGCAAAATCATGGTTGCTTCCAGGCTTGAACTCAGTAGCTGCTGTAATAGTTTAACAACGCAGGAAATAAGTATACTCGAGTTCTTTACAGCATCTTATTCTCGCAACTCATGAAAAAAATATTTCTGCGGACTTTGTGTTGAGAAGAGAAGAGAGAGATTTGTGTAACTGGATCTCAAGAAGAAGAGTCTATAGAATGTAATGGAGCGTATTTCACTACTGAATTCTAAAGAGTAAGACACATGGAAGGAGATGAAGTTTAACTCTCGCCTAGATCTGGTTCTCCACTCTATCCACAACCCACGCAAGAGCTTTTATGAACGTAAACTATACCACCCAGACGAGATACCGATACCTCGAGTCCAAGAAGTTTCTCGACAACAGAACACGATTATCCGTCACTGTCCACAACATCACGGACAGCAGACGAGACTTGAGTGTTTTAAGAAGATGGAACACAACTTGTGATGCAGTAGTACTCAAAGAAACTGACTGATGGTGGTCCCAGAGACGTTAGAGTACATAGGAAAACCACGTGAGAAAGTTATTGATTGAATTTTTATCAATTATGCTTCATATTAATAATTAAATCTTTCAAGGAAATAATCATATATTATCCTGTAGTGGTTTATTTAGACGTCGATTCATCAATATTGAATGTAATCAATTATTAGGGATCATTAAACAACAAGAGTTGATTGTTTGGTTTGGAAATATTACCATCAGAAAAATCTGAACATAATCTTTCTAAGAAAGATTACTTTAGAATATTATTTTTTATAGCTGGTCATCATGTAAAGAGTTTGTCTATTTTTAAAATAAATATAATCATCTAAGAAGTAGAATATTTTTATCAAAGTATTTCAGATAAAGTTGATAAATCATTTAATTTTAAAATTGAAAAAGTTATCGAGGTGTCTTGACCTAATTTTTAGCTCTATAATAATAATTTTAATGAACAAATTTTTGATAAATGAACAATTATTGATAATAAAATTTCAAAAATTTTAAATGAATGACCATTATCAATGGTGAAAAAATGATTAAACAATGAATACAACTCGAATTTGAAGTTGACAAGGAAATCTATCCTTTCAAAAGTATCTCTGTAATTTAATAAATCTAAAGTTGAATCAAAATTGATGATCCGATGGTCCAAACAAGCACAAACAATTTGAAATAAATTTCACGTCTGTCGTTTCCAACATAAAAATTGCGTGAAATTTATTATGTAAAGAAATATTTATATTTTTTTTTATTTCAAAAAAAAAAGACCAACAATAAAAGCTTGAGATCGCACAAGTGCCATTCCATCTTCTCAAAGTCTGTCTGTCTCGATGCTGATCACTGTTCTCCGTGCTACGCACTTTATGTTCATACAGAACGGCATAAATCAGCTTGGGCGCATAACCGCCCGCCTTGCTTCCTCGATGCAACATCCTGGCGGCTTCAAGAGAAGGTATTACCAAAGGTATACTGTGTTGTTGTATTGCACTGCACGTTGCTATGCTGTTGGATCAAGAGAGGGAGAGAGAAAGGTAGAGATTTGAAAGAGTGTGGAGAAGCATATGCGCGAGTCCACGCGTCTGTTACACTCGCGAAGAACACAAGAAGACAACTGAGTGTATATGTTGTATAGAGAGGTACTGAGGGAAAGGCAAGGAATGTTCATCGACAAGCGATAGGATCCATAGACTGAGGTGGAGTTTGATTCTTACAACTCACACTGACTACCGACCACCCTAGTTTGAGCTGTTACTATCATCGCAAACATATTGAATTTGTTGCGGGATTGGATCATTTCAAGTGGATATCGATTGTCCAGGAATTTCAATCTATTCTCTATATTATGATTCAATAAATAACTTATTCAATACTTTTTTCTTATATTTTATACCAGGAAAACTATTTTTTGTACTTGACTTACTCGATTGATGACTAATATGTGGTCTATTAGAAAATGATCCACTACATTGATTATTTTCAATAAAAAATATTTGATTGATTTTTTTTAAATTAATTATGATGAATTTAAATTAATGAAACATCAATTTTTATTCAGTTTTAAATCAATAGATAATTTAATAATATATTAAATAAAAGTATAATAAAAAGCAAAAGTTGATTATTTTTCATGAACCTTTGATGAACTTCATCTAATTGAAATAAATGTTAATTATTTGAAAAGTTGACAGTTATTAATTATTATTTTTATTTTGAAAATTTAATGAGATTTTAATTCTTCTTTGAGTTAAAAAACAAAATCAAATTAATTTTTTCTCCAAGTATTCCTCCATCAATTCAGCAATAAATCATAACACTCTTTTTCTCCATTCTTCACGAGTGTTTTTACAAATACAATCTTTTCTGGTAAATTATTAGAAATGAGACCATTTCCGCAATATAATTTTTTCGGTTAATTTATATATTTATTGAAGTAAAATAATTTTTCAAACTACTCGGAAACTTTCTAAAGTATATTGAAAGCACGCTAGAGAAAGAGAAAATAATTGTGATTGAAAAGTAGCTGACGTTTTAAAGTTACATAGGTATCGACTTGGCAAATCTCGGTCGTATTTAATCTATGGGCGTGTTGTTAATCATTTAAAAGCCTTCTAAGAGTGATTTCTAATTAGGTGAATGAATAAACTTTTCAAGATTTATTCGATAAGAAAATAATTTTTTCCCCCAATATTCATAAGTAAAAGTCAATTTTACACCGAATAACTACAGATACTGACTTCAAGTCATAAAGAAAGAGTAAAGTGAGTGGACTTTGAAGAGAAAGAAAAGGAGGAAGTACAATTTCTTGCACTGCTCTGTAAATTGAACCATTAAACAGCATACACGACGAAATTGTCTTGATGAAGTCTTTCTTTTTCAAAGGTGCAGTCATAAGTAGAAGAAGCAACATGCTCGGGAGTGTTTAAAAGCCATAAGATGAGTTGGAGAAGTTGGCAGAAAATGACCACTGGTTTTCCAAGCTTGATCCATTAAAAACAAACGAAACGAGTTTCCGAAGGAGGGTGCCAAGTTGCAACTCTATAAAGGTGGTAATAAAATATTGGGAGTAGAAAAAAGATCGTTAGCGATAACTGGATTGAAGGTAAGGAAAAATGACCGCTATGGCAATTAATCTCAAGTGAAGTCGAGGAAGCAAGAATACTGAAAGCTATGAAAAATGTCAGAAGCACGCATATAGAACGAAAAGGTAATAAGAAGGAAAAGAAAGAAATAAAGATTCTGAAGGAGTATATAGAAAAAGAGGCAGGGGAAAGAAATGGAGGTGGGGTCGCCACGGTTGTGGTCCGCCTGGGAAAAGACTTGGAGGACGAAACGCATTGTGCGATTCGTGTACAGAAAAGGCTACGCTAGGCTGACCCTAGGCTTCGAATTAACCATCCACCTCGTTGCGCGTGTAATGAAATACTCGACTGACCCTGCTGAATGTACCTGTTACTCCGGGTAATCGCTTTCCCCACCATTTCATATACATTCGTTTATCATGCGTGGATATATCCCTCTCCACCACAACTCACTGACATCAAGTCAAGCCAAAGAATTTTATTCCCTACACGCGTCGCTTCTAAAGACGTTCGTGGCTACGCAAAGAAACCTGACGTTAAGCAGACTGGAACAAAGTGCTTATCTTGAATTTTGACGAGTTAGTTGGGGGGCTACCAAGATTCTTATATTCTTAAGGGAACCCAACACTAAGATTTCCGGACTTCAGGGTGGCTTTGTTTTTTCATTTTCGAACATCGTTGTTGGTCTTTTACACGCACAGGTGGAGCAGAACGTTGACAAAAAATACATTCAGATAACTAAGTTTGTAATCAAAACTCAGTGGCTTCATTCTCTTTTATATTTTTATTTTATTATATTTAAGACCCTCTTGACCACCACTTTTTGCCCGTTTTTTCTCGTTGGTCAGAAGCAGTAAACGGAGCATGAAGAAAGCGAAAAGTTTGCGACACTTTCAATCAAACGAGGAGAAATAAAAAAAAACTTATTATCTTCTTTGTGGAATACTTTTCATCATCTTTATACGACACACGCATCCGTTTAATTGTTAGTGCGTGAGAGTAAATATGGGGAAAGGAGTTCAAGGCGAAAAGTCGTGGGAATAAAATGACACATATTTGGAAAAATGAAATCGAATTGTAGCTTTTTAATTAATCTACTTATGATGTTAAAGAGTGAAATTTCATCATGTTTTTATCCATATTGCTCTTTGTAGACCTATACACAGTCATAGTTCAAATTATCCGAATCATTTGGAACGCCCATAACAAGATAACTATTCATCTTCAAAACCCTTTGTAAGAATCTTTAGGAAATTTCAAATCATCATTTTACTACCTTTTTAATTAAAAATTTAATTGATCATTCAAAACAACAAATTTAAAAGGAATTCATTTTCTCCGGAAATGTTATAATAATTATATGATTTTGGAAGGCAGTAAAAAAAAGGGTTCCCAAATGGATTGTTTATTATATACTTGGCTACCTAACTTGAAATAACATTTAATTGGAGAATAGATAGTTTTAAAAATTACCTAACATTACTTATGATTAATTGATCATCAATATCAAACAAATTATTTTAAAGAAAAATATGACATCCATTAAAGAACTAATCAATTTCAACCTATAACAATTTCTTTCAAGTCTTAAAGACTTTTAAATCGATTTTTTTTTTCTCATTAATTATTAAAATACATTTTCCTGTTAAGAATAATTTATTTCAATATTTTAATCATCTTGAGGTTATTTAAGTAATCATTTCTCGTTAAGTGAATTTTTTAACTTTACATTTTTCTGTCATTGAGGTAATTTGTCCCAAGTATCACTTGAAAATAATTTACTCCAATTACGAATCAAAGTGGGATCACCAAGCATATAATTGATGAAAATTTAAGCGTCTCTCATCATGATCAAACATCTCAAATTTAAAGATAATTATGACTCACCATCAGGACAGTGACACTCGTACTCAAGTTCACCCAATTGACGACATGATCCTCCATTTAGACAAGGCGACGGATCACAGGGTATATATTCGCTCTCGCAATTTTGTCCGGTGTATCCAGTCTTGCAGATGCATCTAAAAATAGCAAGAAAAAAAAATGATTAAGTACACACAGTAGGTAAAGTTAATGAACAATTATCATGCTATTATATGTAATATTATATAAAGTTTGATAATAATCAATAACACCGGACACAATATTCATTTAATTCCACAATGCAGTCATTGTTTTGGATAGATATCGCATGTCGAATATCACATGGGATATCGACTTTCCACATAATATCCGTCGTTATTAACATGAAGTCGTCAAATCAATCAAAGATATCTGAAATCTGTGACGGTTTCTCACGGTCCTCAGGAGGATAACTATTTATAAACAACCTGTTATATTATTTTTTATCAATTAATATAATAATTAAAACGGAAATCTAATATTGACATCAATTATATTTACTTATTAATATTTTTTCCGGTACCACAAATTGCATCTTATCTCACCCATAATAAAATCTTATTATTTATTTTTCATCCCACAAACAAACAGTGACGGTTCAACAGGACTTGGAATATTTTTTCATAAAAAATAAATAAAATTAAATCAAAATCATAATTCAACATATTTTTGAAAACTTTTAAAGAGAAGGTTTTAGTGGTTTAAATGAGAATAAGTCAAAAAATAATGGTAAATATGTAAATGAGGGTAATTTTAATGTCTATCTAGAAATAATGGATTGAAGAGATAAAAATTCGAACCTCGAACTCGCTACGAGAAGGAGCACTATAAACACAATCTTGAGACTCATTTTGATTGAGATTCAAGCAATGAGATAAATCCCAGAACGTATTCCTCATATTTTGACGATTTCACCAGTGTAATCCATTTCCCATGGGCGAACACTTCCATAAGATCCATTCAATAAATATGCAAAATATATATATATATATATATATTTACACTGTAAATCTTATTTTATAATTATTTATAATCATCAACTAAATTTTCTTTGCACTTAGATATTCACTTTAAACACGTACACTCTCACGTTTCCCTTTTTTATTCTTTCATATATTGCACCAAGTCACCACGAGGAAATTATCACGACTCTATTATATCCAGGATGAACTTGAATAAATTGCACTATGTTATATACGTTCTCTAAATTAACTAAAATAATTTAATATTTTACTCATTCAGATGAATTTATATCATCAACTATCACAGTTTCGTCGCAGTGAGAGATCGTTTTTTCTATATGTTATCATAAAAAATAAGTTTATCATCAACTGTCACTCAAATAATTCCTGGAATCATCATGTTTCCAACCGATAGAAAAATTTCCACATTGTTTATAATCCTTTTTATCTCGAATTTCCGCGAGAGAACGCGGAAAATGAGGATTGGAGTAATGTCGAACAAATAATCACTTAAATCAGCCCCCTCATTCACTCTTATGCGTGATACCGTCGCGTTCATGCGACGTAGGTGCTATAGAGATACTCTCTCGAGGCACCTAAACTCGTTCAAATTGCCTTTATCCTGTGTTACGACGGATCAACGTGGTATCCATGACGGGGTCCACTGGCAAGGGATTAAAAAAGTCAAAGAGGTGTTGCCAAATCTCAATAGTCACTTGATTTACATTGCAATCAATATTGTGACACTGTTTATTTATTATTAACAATATGTATTATATTGTTGGTACAAAAAAATGCGTCAAGTAGAAAGTATCTAGATCCGGTTTTGTTTATAAAATTCGACTATTTTTTTTTTTATTTATAAAAACACTTTGGAGCATTCAAGTCTTACACACGTGTCACACTTGTACGTAATAAATGAACTCACACTGCCGGGGTTACTATTTACGATAAAATGATGCAAATAATTAAAAAAATACCGGGAGCAACGAAACAACGAGGCACACGAATCAATGTCTGGAGACAGACTAACAGAAAGTTCCCGCGCGCTCCGCCGGGGGAGCTCCACAAGTGTTCGGTAAAGTTCGTTTAACCTCGGCTTAGGCCCAATCCCCTTCTTCTCTCTCTCTTCTATTCAAGTGTAGTCTCAGGATCAGTAAAGATGAAAATTCCTTCTCTACTTTTCTCTTTCTCACACCCCCAGCAGGTCAACTCTTTCTTTTCTCTCATTCTTTTTCCTACTCCTTTGCTTTTATAAGTTCAGCACAAACCATTTGCAAAACTGTTTGTAACACCTAAAAATCTATTTCATTACATATCTTATACATTTTATGCTTGCGGATAATTACAGATATATAATATGGATTTTATTGCGACAAAAGTCAGTTTTATTTTCACGTGTTTATAGTTTAGAGTTAAAAAATACACGCAATATGGTCGCGCTCTAGGGGGGGTGGCAACTTTAAGGGGATATAATAGACCGGATTTTTCCCCCTTCCTCTGGCTTGTTTCGCGCCAGGGTGCACTCGGATGAGGACGTTACCCTTAGCCAAAGTTGACACAAGGGTGTTTCAATGTCCCCTTCTTTGACATCCTCAGATGTTTCTCATGTATTTCCTGATAAAAATGGCTCATCTAATTAATTCATGGATTTGTAACCGGTATTGAACACGACTTGATAATTTGTAAAGGGTTATTTTATCGACAACAAAAATCGAGAAATTAATAAAACAAAATCTAAATAAACATTTTAATATTATTTTTGCAGTTGACTTTTGACAGAATAAAAAGAGTTGGATTTTTTTGTTTTTATTTCGACTTAAAATAAATTTATAAAAATTTGGTAAGAGCAATCTTGACCTTTTAGATGACTGAATTCAATTTTATTAATTTTATATATTAATAGTCTTTTTAAAAGGATCATTTTAAGTGAAAATTTTTATGATAATATTAAGAGTGAAAAAAAAATGTGTTTATTTAACATGATATTATTTTTTCATCTAGTCAATATCTCAAATCCATTAAAGGAAGACATCATAATCATAATCATAGGAATGTATTAAATTAACAGACAAAAATATTAAAATAACAAATCAACATGTTGAAAATTTTGCACTGACATTTTTCAGGAGGTATTATATTTGCAGACGAATTTCTCGACTGACGAGATCCTATATTCAATCATCTACCGCAGTATAAAAACATATAAAGTATTCGAGTGCGTATACAATAGTTAGATGAGAAGGGTAGTGTTTATATATCTTTGAAAAGTGAGTGATTCACATTATGATGTAGAGTGGACAGGCAACGGTGGGTTCCGAATTGGCCTCGACAAAATATGTCAGGTCGATGCGAAGAACCAGTCTCTCCCCTTACTTTCAAACCAGACACAAGTTCTTTTCAGGGACGGATGTAGATTCGCATTAAAAGGCGCTTCAGTGGGTTCTATCAGTTCAACACTCCAAAAAATACCATCATGTCAATTCGCCAAATGTAAATGGGCGAATTCATGCAGAAAAGGTCGTAAGAGTTGATAAGTGATGAAAGATTGTGCATACCGATGGATTAGTCGTTAGAATTTTTTACTCTTGCTCTCTACATAATTAATTATTGTCCCCTCCAAAGGGCTAATTAATTAGGCACGCGATCGAGCTTCCTATGCCAATTAAGACTTCAGTGTCTAGGCTTAATGCCTCTCGACGTGCGAAAGACCTGTTTCTTCCTCCCTCCTCTCTTTATTCCTTCAACTCTTTCAGTACCTGTGAATAATCGACAGTTTCTCTATCTTTCCTCTCCTTTTCTTCCACCACAAAAGTCCAAACCCTTTAAAGGAATTGATTTGATTCCTTTCCTTAAGTACCTTTAGCAATTAGGTTTTTTTTCTTAAAACCATTTTTTTATTTTATATTTGAAATACATGATCAAGGGTCGTAATTAAGGCTCGATGGAAAACTGAAGGAGGATCCAGTTTTGTCATTAGCGGTACTACCGAAAATTAATGCTCTCCCGTTAAAGACTCAAGCCTCCATTTAACTGACGTTGAATCGTGAAAAGAAGCTACGAAGATTGGATGCACGAGGAAAGAGACTGTCTAAAAGACCGGCTTTATGAGCTCATCATATTTTTCGATGGAACACATATTCTACACTTGAATATATTAAATACTTCATCAATTTTTTTTTACTTCATTTAACGATTATTTTTTGCAATAATTTAGTCATTATAAAATTATCCTACATAACATGTATAAAAGTATGAACAAACTACTTAGATAAAAAATAAATTACAAATAAATAATTGTCTATTGAGAAATAACATTTTCCATGGACTCGTTATATATATTATAAGAATGTAATCATGTTCTACATAAAATTCTTCGCATGTTTAAATCATATTTTCATCAAGAGAAATATTTTATAATAAGAGATACTTGTTTTGTGATATACAAGAGGTTGAAATTTTTACTTTTTACATCAACCTGTGCTTTGTGCTAAACTTGATGAAATCCTACGCATCTACAAATGTTTATTATGTGTGATGTAATGTTCACTAAGCCAAGTGTAAGAAATATAAACGTCAGATTAACACGCTCATTGACAGAACCCAGGACCGACCGCTTTCCCACCGTAATTGCCTGAATTGAAGCGACCCAATAATCATTACATCAGTCGTTGTCATTGTTCTCACTTGATGCGCGAGTTTAATATTTGCAGTTTTTCCGGGTGCATAATTCGCTTAGTGGTTTTTTTTTAGATGTAAGTAAATATAATATTTAACATTGCTGATTTTTCCGGTACTGTAGACTGAATGAATTATTTATTTTTAGAACAATTTAATGAATCAATCAATTCCATTTAAAACAAGGTTTTTTTAAAAATAACCTTTTTATTTTTTGTCTACTTCAATTTTTATAATAAATTCCTTTTTTAAACGTTTAATTATAATATTCTTTTTGCAAGATATTATTTTTAATGTCATTTAATATTTACTGGTGTTTTATAAAGAACTTCAAGTAAAAAATCCAAGATTTTCTGTCATGTTGATTCACTCTTAAGTTACTTCCAAAAGAGTAATCATTTATTACACTCCAGGTGCATTAAGATGGACTTAAAAAATTAATTGTGCCTTTGTTTATAAATTGTTAAACTGACAAAAATAAATAAATTACTGTCCCTGGACTAAAAAAGTAAAATCAATTGATTTTTTCCTTTCACTAGACACCTGCACCTTGAATCTGACTGTCAATATAAATATTCATTCATACACATGCACCGTAATCAGACATGAAAAGATTTCTTTAAGGTCAAGATCTGAAACATATTTCCATAATCAAAAGAATTTAATTTTCCACCATAACATTTTTGTCTTAACTCTTCAATTCTCACATCAAGACAAATTAAGATAAATGACAACTGATGCACTTGCAAATGCATATTTGCAAAAATCTAGTTATAACCTGTAATAAACGACCTTCTTGTATTTTTCTTCATCATTTGCATTCAATTAAAAATTTTTTCAAGCTATTTAATTAATGAAAAAACAAAGAAAGTTATTTTAAATGAAGATTACGAGTAAAAAACATTGTTTAGGTATTGATTAATGTCTATTACATGTTAGGTAATGTCTATCTAAGAGATTTAATTACGAATTAATAATTCTCATCGATACCGTTGGAAAAGTGAATCACCTCTCATCACCTCCACTGCAGCGAAGGGACGAGAACGAGGTGAGCATTGATTATTATTGGCGGGCGTGTGCCAACGCGATTATTGATAGATGTGGTACGTCGACACGCCTTGTAGATAATTAGACCACGAGCATCGATTACCCACGCCTGTTAGATTATCTTTTTCTCGTCTTCTTCTACATACTCTTTATACATATCTAAAGCTATACTTCATATGAATCTGGACCACCAATTATAATTATCCTGTCTCCACATGCATACCTTGTATACCTTGATATAAAAAATTCATTACGAAATATATAACGAGTACTATCCAATTTTCTTTATTACCAAAACATATTTTAACACTTGATATTATTTTTTTTTTAATTACAAGTAAATGATTTTTTTATGATTGAAATATGAAATTAAATGACGTTTTATAGAATATTTATGCAAAAATTTTGCTTCAAAGTTGCAAGAATTATGAAATTTATTAATTTATATTACAGTTTTAATAAATATTTATTAGTTCATCGATTTCATAAGACTTAATTGAATTTTGGATATAAATTTTTAAATAATGAATTTACTGATTATTATTTGAAACATTACGTTCCAAATTTATGGAACTTGAGAAATCAATCAAAATACGGATTACCGGAGAAGACATTAAGAAATAATTTATCGCAAATTCATGATCTACATTCATCTCTAAAGTTGAAGAAAGAATGATAAACGATTTTTAAAATATTAAAAAAACAAAAAAAAAAAATGATTACATCATTTAAGTTACAAAAATTCTTATGTAAAAAATTTATAAATTCATTTACATAAGAAATAAAAAGTTATAGTTGTACTTGATAAAAAAAATAAAAACATAGGTGGTTGAACTGTTGATACTTTTTATAGAGCAAGTAAACAGATTTATGTGGTAATTATTTATGAATACAGAAAACCAGGCGACAATGATAATCCAACAAATAAATAGTAAGTGTAGTAATATGAATATAAAAGGCCTTATTTGATGATTTGTTTGAAATTCCTGTCTAATTAATGCCACTCACGTGTTATATCAAAACTAGATTTGTCAACTGGTCAGCTAGTGGTTCAAGCTTTGGCTAGAAGGCGTTGAATAAGCAGGTTTTATACACCAAGTCTAGAGACTATTTTACAAAGTTCGTGGGAGCAAGATCCACAGTGGCTTCCCGACGTGTTTCATTGGCAGCACGTGAGTGCAATTGGTGAGGATATATAGCCAAGCACCGTGTAACCTATCAGCTCAGCTAGGCGATATCGTCGACATAAGGTCGCTCCTTGATTTGCTATAATTATTTAATAATATAGT